AATTTTAAAGGTTTTTACATACCAATAAATGAATCATTTAACTTTTTATTGTTTTATAAACTAAACCATTAATTATTATCCATTTAAACACAATTTAACCAATAAAAAAAAATTAAAATTAACTAATTTTATATTAAAAATTGAACACAACACTTAATAACAAACATAGGGGGGGGGTATACAATACGTGTGTGTATCACCTTTTTATGTAAACAAAGTTTTTTAAACTAAATTATTATTTAAAATAATTTCAAAACAAAACTTTAATTTTTCACAGCCTAAGAAAATAAAATGATATTGATATTTATCATCATAGGAGAAATCTTTTTAAATTTAGTCTCAAGTTGTGTGGAATAGCGACATAACTCTATTAATGCTCTGTATCCAAATGTTTTTTTAAATGCTCATGTCATTTTCACCCACCAAAGCTTTGTTCTGTTCCTCTTAAATTTTCTTTTTGTGTATCTAGTTTGTGAAATTAAACTCCTAATTCCTCAAATACACACATTTTTAAAAAAAGAAACAAGTTGAGACTTATCTCATGGTTTAAACTCTATGATTTACGGAAAAGAAAAAAACTCTTATGTTTTCACCACAAACTATATATAATGTTACCATTTGTAAATCAAACTAAGAAAAGCATTTGTTCCTATTTCACTAATATGCATTAGACCACATTCGAATTCGAATAGTGACAAGTTTAACATCTTTTTTCTTCTTATTAATATCTATCCAGTGTGGTAGTAAAATTGAGCTTTGGTGTGGTTTCTATCTAGTACCAACATAAAAAAAATGAATAATGATTTTCCTCGCCTATAAATTGTCAACAATGGGCTTTAAGAGCCTAGAAGCATTTACATGTGACATGTTAATAGCTTACCCATTAATATCATTAGATATCTGAATCTACAAAAAGGCCCATATTATCTCTCACTGATTTGGTATATAAGAAAAAGAAAGTTGGATAATTAGAAATGTTATCGATTGGTAACGTTTTTGAGCACCTCCAATAGAGGGACAAAGAGTAAATTTTGAAAGAATCTTCATTCGAAATTTTTGGTAACTGAAATAGAACGATGAGAGTAAGAACACGAATGTGTTTAGGAAGAATATAGAATAGACTCTCATGTCAATCACGTTACAACGTGCGTAAGCTTATATAGAGATTGAATAACCTAATTCCTAAACTAATATGGAAATAATATATATTAGAGATAATGATAGATTTCCTATTCTCCAATATTCTTCTAGATATTCCTTGATACGGTCAAATCTCGTTGATCTCCCAATATCCCCGGCAAGCTCATATGTTGTAACACGTGTGAGATTGGACAAGTCTTCATAATATCGGCAATATACCTTGCCGTAAAGTCATCATCGACGTTTATACCCGGTCGTAGGGTTCTTCA